CGGGCGATCTGAGGTCGGGAAGGGGAAGGGGTGAGTTTTTAAGGGTAAAAAACGGTTTACCTTGATTTCCGGAAAAACTACAAGTCTTATGGAAAAAAGTTAAATGGCAGAGTTGTAGGTAATAAAAAGATCTACAACTTTTGTATTTACACTTTTTTCACATAACCTCAAAATTTATGTGAAAAATTCAAAAACTTGGTTATTTGAATTTTTCACATAAATTTTGAGGTTATGTGAAAAAAGTGTAAATACAAAAGTTGTAGATCTTTTTATTACCTACAACTTTGTCATTTAACTTTTTTCCATAAGACTTGTAGTTTTTCTGGAAATCAAGGGAAAACGTTTTTTACCCTTAAAAACTCACCCCCTACCCCTTCCCGACCTCAGATCGCCCGTAAATTATTTTTCCTTTCATTTTTGTTATATTCTCTTTCTTTTCCAATGGGTTTCATCCTACTATAATTTTTTTTGGTTTCAAAAATTATCGACCCTGGTCTAGAAAGAAATAGATGTGATGTTCAATCACTTATATTATATGGAACCAATTTTGCAAGTACAATATCATGATACAACTTACTTGTTTGATATCACCGATAATCTTCTCTAAAACGGATTTGTTATCCACCGGTTCGGTAACCTTCTTGTTCTTCTTTTTCCCCTGCACCTTCGGTTGTTCCACTTTAATCTCCATGTCGGGATTGTCGGTGGAATCCTTGGGGTCTGCCTTCCTCTTCGGTCGGGTCAGTGTCGTAGGTTTCCCACATTTACTGTAAATCTTCTGCGACACTTCGGTACCACTCTCTTGAAAGTTCATGATGGCCTCGGATATCTTTATATTGAGAGGTTCGACCACCACCTCGATGTTGTAGGGACCCAGAAGCCTGTCGCCCACCTTGTCGATTGCATCTGGAAGGAAAATTTGTATTTTGTAAAAGAGAAGGCTAAACCCGATCAGAAGAACAATTGAACGTCGCTGTGATCGCATCGCTTTTGGTTCGACCGGCTTGAAATTAATTAATTAAAATGATTCAAATTTTTACCAATTAAAGATAACAATAAAGACAAATCATGTACCAAATGCTGAAATATTACTGTTATTCAAAATTCATCTTCAACGGTACAAAAATATGTTACAAAACAAATCAGCATTTTTAATCAGTAGAGTTATTAAACATCTTGTATGCTTCTTTAAATGTTATTGAGAATTCTGTTATCTTTGTATAAGTCTCATTTTGGTAAGAGATACTTGTTGGTACAGTGGCTTTCGATCAGATATACAAGGTGTCCCTGAAAAGAATGGACAACGCTTGACCACAGGTTCCTTGGATGACACAACAAGATTATTTAGCCTAACTTATATACAAAAGTGCACGCCTACTGAGATATAGCCTTCTAAATATAGAACAGATAACCTAGTTTTTTTCAAATAATTTGAAAACTGTTTTTCTTAGAAACTTCAAATTTGGTACACATATTTTTTTATATAAGGGCAATGTAAATATAGAATTTGGTGAGAATACATATACAGGATGTTCTCTTTCTAGTGCCTGTGCGCCACTGGCTATCCCGTAACTTTTTTGTATGTACGCCAATGACGACAGAATTTATATTTTTAAAAATAAGCACTATTTTAGAAGATTTTTTGCCTCTTACAAAATTTTGATATCGTTTATGGATTTCGAGTAAAATTGGCATTTTTTACACATTAAATAATATAAAATCAGTTTAAGATAAATAGAACATTCTAGTACGAGGTGCCATATAACAGAGAAACAAATTCATAACAATAATTAAAAGGTTCTGTGTCAAGCTAGCTGTGATTTAATTTTAGCTTACTTTGTTTTTTATTGCAATTTATACTTTTGCTGAACAAACTGATATGTTAGTAGTTTTGGGTTATTGTGAAGGAAATTGTTGTGCTACTGTTCGAACATATGCTGAAAGATTTCCTAATCGAAGAACTCCAAATCACAAAACATTTGCTAATGCGGAGAGACGCCTTCGGGAAACAGGACGTTTTTTACCTGTAACATTAAATCGTGGATAATGTACGGCCGGAATTATTCAGCTGGAGGAACAAATTTTGGAAAGGGTCGAAGAAATTCCTCAAGTAAATAAAAGGCGTTTAGCGGCAGAGGTTGGCTTTCAAAAAGTTCCTTTAATAGAGTATTAAAAGACCAGTTATTACAGGTTACAGGTATTACAGGGTACAGGTAGGTATTACAGGTTATTAAAGGTCTAACAGGTGGATAGGTAGAGGAAATAATGCCCCTTTAAAATGGCCACCTCGATCCCCGGACCTAAACCCATGTAATTATTTCATTTGGGGAGCGTTGAGGACCACAGTTTAAAATAACTTTTCAGTAAATACAGAAAACGAATATGGGAAAGAATACAACATGAAATTAATGTTATGAGAGGTAATGCACAATTATTGGATAATTTCTAATTTTCGAAGAACTAATGTTTGCGTTTAAGAACAAGAAAGTAACTTTGAGCATTTACTGTAATATTATTTTAATGTGATTACAAATATCAGTTTATTTAAAATGTTAATGTTGACTTTCTTACATTATTAGTTGATATTGTTTATTTAAAATATTAGTGTTGATTTTTATTTTATTGATTGATAATACTAATACCAAAAATGTGTAGTTATTTTTTTTAATGTGACGTTTTTTCATTATTATTCCCTGCTTTGAGGCTGCAGTTATAAATTATTTTTTATAAATCGGAATTTTTGCCTATATTTAATGTATAAAAAATGCGAATTTTACTCGAAATCCATAAACGATATCGAAATTTTGTAAAAGCAAAAAAAATAGTGCTTATTTTTAAAAATATAAATTCTGTTGTCATTGGCAAACACACAAAAAAGTTACAGATAGCCAGTGGCGCACAGGCACTAGAAATAGAAAAAAATAAGTGTACCAAATTTGAAGTTTCTAAAAAAAATAGTTTTCAAATTATTTCAAAAAAACTAGGTTATCTGTTCTATATTTAGAAGGCTATATCTCAGTAGGCGTGCACTTTTGTATATAAGTTAGGCTAAATAGTCTTGTTGTTTCATCCAAGGAACCTGTGGTCAAGCATTGTCTATCCTTTTCAGGGACACCCTGTATATTCCATCAGTTAAAAAGAGTTAATTAAACATATTCATTTTTAAAATTACCAACAAGACATTAAATGTACAGTGAAAAATTTAAATTATCTCTAATTACTCACCGACAAAGTTGTCCCAGATGGTGGAGAACTCCGTATGGTACCTATAGCAGGTCTGCATGGTGTTTGAGCAGTACGTGGGGCAAGGCCCTATGCCGTTCTCCGCTTTACACGCCCCGCAATACCTCATCTTCGTACTCTCGCGATAGCACTCTTCGTCGACCCCCAAATTCGCCAGGTTGTTGGCCGCGTCTGCCCCTTTCACCAGGGACTTGTAGAACGTCCTGGTGGCGACAAAAGACCTCCGAAGTTGGATCCCCAGCTTGTGGGGAACATCGCCGAAAGGTTTCATCTCGGTCATGTGGTCCGAGACGCATTCCAAATATTTGTCATCGAAGGTGTATTGAGCGTTGATGACGGTGAACATGCGCTGGTAGAGGATGCTGAAGAACGTGTCCATGGTGTCGGAAAGACGAACGGTGCCCTTCTTGTAGTAGGTTTCCAGCTCGCTGAAGAAGTCACTGAAGACCTCGGCGTTCTGCAGGTAGATTTTGCCGTAAGTACGCTCGAACATCTGATGGAATTCTCGCTTGGAGTTGTTCATCATGCCGCGAAATACGTCTGGAAATTACAAAATATGTAAGTTAAAAACAAACGAAAAACACGGTCACATAATAGAAACTTGATCATTTTATTTTAAAGTGAATATACCAAAAGTTATTCTTTGGTTCATGTTTAAAATTCGATTTTACATAACATTTCATTTTGGCTGTCCAGTTACGAAACACCCGGTATAACAACTATTTACAGGGTATCCCACAAAGAAGTATATAAATTTTAAGGGCGCATTTCTTTCTCCGAGAATATATTCATGTCCAAAACGATGATCAAATTATTTTTTTTTTAGATAGATATATTTCAAAAAGGCTTAATATAGTTTGACAAATAATTGTTTTATTTTACAAATCCCGTTCAGACTTAGTTATTTCTGTGTTACTTAAAATTATTTGAGTAGTTTTCTATTGTAAAACAAAAAGAAAGTATAATTTATCTGAATCCTGTAATTTAATTTTTTCCTATAGATTTTTTTTTCAACAAAGTTGCAATAGTTGTTTCCAAAAATTGCGTAGGCATAGAAGTTACGTTTCATGAAAAAAGTCTACCCTTCGTTTCTATAACTTTGCTAATTGAAATCAATACCTATTAGCATGGTTTTGTAAGTATTAAGTATGTTATTTATTTTTTCGCCTAGCATATGTGAAATTGAATTATATTGATCCTAAAAGTATGACCGAAATTTATCGATCATTGGGCCGATTTTGTAGATTTTCACAATCTGGACACCTTTGCTTGTCATTTGCGTAGGTACTTTGACGTTTTATATGTGTTGTGATTTTAATTTATACAATTTTTAGAAAGCATACATTATATGTATGTACAGGCTGGTCCATTTTCGATGGGATTTCAGGGTATCTCAGAAACTACTAAAGATATGATAAATCTGACACCACGTTCTCGAGCTCGATTTTCATGGCAAACTCGACTGTCAAATCAGAAATTTGCTATCTTCATTTGTTTCTAAGTTACAGGGCGTTTCTCGTTATTGTGACACTTTTGAACATGTCTGTATCTCAGCTGTTAAATAAGTTAGAGTTAAAGTGAAAACTGCTCAAGGCTAATTCTTTGGCGTAGAATTGAATGCCGGTATTGGATTTTTAGTAGGTCTTAAGATTCCGGAGTTATGACCCAAAGTTATAATTTTTTAAATGGAAATCGTAGCTGGTTATGACCTAAAAAATTGGCGATTTTTTTTTGCTTTTCAGCAATATATCACATGTTATAGATATTTTTCCAAACACAGAAGATACGTGTTTTATACATTACATTTTTACATTTTAATATGGCTGGCTATGAAAATACATACCCAACTATAATTCTTACTTTTACAAAACTCATTTCTGTAAAAATATGACGTTTATTTGAAATATATATTACAGATCAGAAAAGACAGAGTTTTCAAATTTTTATTCCACTTCAACTGAAGTTACAATATTAAACGTAAATTAAACAATAGTAAGTACCTACATCAATAAAAACTTTCAAAAATGATAGCTAAATGTTCAAATTGCCGTCCCTCAACTGTCACACATTTCACGCATCTTCTGGCAACGCTTCGGGTAGCATTCATTAAATGTATANATCTATCTATCTATCTATCTATCTATCTATCTATCTATCTATCTATCTATCTATCTATCTATCTATCTATCTATCTATCTATCTATCTATCTATCTATCTATCTATCTATCTATCTATCTATCTATCTATCTATCTATCTATCTATCTATCTATCTATCTATCTATCTATCTATCTATCTATCTATCTATCTATCTATCTATCTATCTATCTATCTATCTATCTATCTATCTATCTATCTATCTATCTATCTATCTATCTATCTATCTATCTATCTATCTATCTATCTATCTATCTATCTATCTATCTATCTATCTATCTATCTATCTATCTATCTATCTATCTATCTATCTATCTATCTATCTATCTATCTATCTATCTATCTATCTATCTATCTATCTATCTATCTATCTATCTATCTATCTATCTATCTATCTATCTATCTATCTATCTATCTATCTATCTATCTATCTATCTATCTATCTATCTATCTATCTATCTATCTATCTATCTATCTATCTATCTATCTATCTATCTATCTATCTATCTATCTATCTATCTATCTATCTATCTATCTATCTATCTATCTATCTATCTATCTATCTATCTATCTATCTATCTATCTATCTATCTATCTATCTATCTATCTATCTATCTATCTATCTATCTATCTATCTATCTATCTATCTATCTATCTATCTATCTATCTATCTATCTATCTATCTATCTATCTATCTATCTATCTATCTATCTATCTATCTATCTATCTATCTATCTATCTATCTATCTATCTATCTATCTATCTATCTATCTATCTATCTATCTATCTATCTATCTATCTATCTATCTATCTATCTATCTATCTATCTATCTATCTATCTATCTATCTATCTATCTATCTATCTATCTATCTATCTATCTATCTATCTATCTATCTATCTATCTATCTATCTATCTATCTATCTATCTATCTATCTATCTATCTATCTATCTATCTATCTATCTATCTATCTATCTATCTATCTATCTATCTATCTATCTATCTATCTATCTATCTATCTATCTATCTATCTATCTATCTATCTATCTATCTATCTATCTATCTATCTATCTATCTATCTATCTATCTATCTATCTATCTATCTATCTATCTATCTATCTATCTATCTATCTATCTATCTATCTATCTATCTATCTATAATTTTTCATTAAATGTCAAGTTAAACCAAAATTTGGAAGCAAAACAAACAACAAAGGTGTAAAATAACAATAAGTTGTGAACAACTGAAATTTTGTGAATAAGTTAAAATGAATAGCAACTCAGACAGTGACGAAAAATTTACGAATATTCCACCGGACTTGCAAGAGGAATCTAGCAATATTTCTCTGAATTTGTTACCTACAGAATCAAGACAACCAACGGCACCACGAAAAGCATTATGAATTGTTCAATAACTGGAAAAGTAATAAAAAAGCCAAAAACTTAACAGAAAATGTACTACTTGCTTATCTATCATCAAGATCAAAGATTGTAAATGCAGGTAGGTACACTAATTTTCTGAATGTTCAATGTGGAAAAGTAGGCTTTTAGTCTAAAAGTTTGACTCAAAAACAATGTACTAAATTTTTTAAGGAAGCACATGATTTGGAATATTTTATGATCAAGGTAAACTAAGGTGAATATGAAACTTGACCACATAGATAATAGAGGAGACATATTGATTGTTACAGTTCCACAAACAAAAAATAATATTACAAGAACGCTCACAGTCACTAACAAAACAGTTGATGAATTGAATCTACTTACAATATACAGGGTGTCCCGAATTAATGCAACAAAATTTGGTCACACATTTTTAAGACAAACTTATTTTTTATTTTTGCCAAGTGGCCCCCTCTTTCGAAGTTACAGCCCCTTGAAGTCCGCCTCTAAGAATAATCTTTTTTTTATATCTCAGAACCCTGTTGTACGAGAATCGCTAAATTTGGTACACGGGGGTTTTATGACATGTGTAATCTGATGGGGCTACGTTTTTTGGCAAGGAACCCCCTGAAGACAATTTTTCGTGGGCTCCCTTGTCTTTGGAGCCAAAAAAATTTGGTGGCATATTTCCACTAGAAAACCATTAAATTTAGAAACTTTTTGTCTCTTTAAACTTTTTTCGTAAACGCAATATTTTCGAGAAAAATGTCAAAATGTGATCGAATGCATATCGTGATTCTTCATTTTCCTAAAAAACATTGCGTTTTACGAAAAAATATCAAGAGACAAAAAAGTTTCTAAATTGAATGGCTTTCTCGCTAATAATTAAAAAAAAAATTAAATTTGCGACCAAATTTTTCTGGTTCTAAAGGCAAGGGGGCCATGAAAAAGTGTCTTAAGGGGGTTTTTCGCCAAAAAGCGTAGCACTGTGAGATTCCACATGTCATAAAAAACCCCCGTGTACTAAATTTAGTGCCTCTCGTACAACATGGTTCTGAGATATAAAAAAGACTTCTTAGGGGTAGGGGCAGAATTCAAGGGTCTGTAACTCCGAAAAAGGGGGGCCAGTTGGCAAAAAGGAAAAATAAGGGTACCCCTAAATTTGTCTTAAGAATCTATGACCAAATTTTGTTGCATGAATTTCGGGAGACTGTACAACAAACATGTTCCTCTTTACCCACATTCCTCATAATCGCCCATCTATTTATTACAAGAATAATAAATGCANTCTATCTATCTATCTATCTATCTATCTATCTATCTATCTATCTATCTATCTATCTATCTATCTATCTATCTATCTATAATTTTTCATTAAATGTCAAGTTAAACCAAAATTTGGAAGCAAAACAAACAACAAAGGTGTAAAATAACAATAAGTTGTGAACAACTGAAATTTTGTGAATAAGTTAAAATGAATAGCAACTCAGACAGTGACGAAAAATTTACGAATATTCCACCGGACTTGCAAGAGGAATCTAGCAATATTTCTCTGAATTTGTTACCTACAGAATCAAGACAACCAACGGCACCACGAAAAGCATTATGAATTGTTCAATAACTGGAAAAGTAATAAAAAAGCCAAAAACTTAACAGAAAATGTACTACTTGCTTATCTATCATCAAGATCAAAGATTGTAAATGCAGGTAGGTACACTAATTTTCTGAATGTTCAATGTGGAAAAGTAGGCTTTTAGTCTAAAAGTTTGACTCAAAAAGAATTAGTACATTCTTTTTTTAAGGAAGCACATGATTTGGAATATTTTATGATCAAGGTAAACTAAGGTGAATATGAAACTTGACCACATAGATAATAGAGGAGACATATTGATTGTTACAGTTCCACAAACAAAAAATAATATTACAAGAACGCTTACAGTCACTAACAAAACAGTTGATGAATTGAATCTACTTACAATATACAGGGTGTCCCGAATTAA